AAATTGATGCGATGTTTCACAGGAAGCCAATGCAGAGAACAAAGGACAGGAGTGATGTGATTATAATTCTTGGAGAGAGTTACAAGACGAGCAGCAGAGTTCAAAACATCATCATTGATATTCACATACGGTACTAACAGTAATATAAACATCGTTATTATTTTTACACCCATGAATATTATAGCGTTAGCGTTTTAAAATATAATGAAATCTAAAAGTATCAGGTAGTTGATCAAGTATTTCATTTTCTTATGCCAAACGTTATTCTGCTGGTAAATGACAGTTGTATGGAAATATTGAAAAAGATCGCGTACAGGCCAATAGATATAAATTTCTTATTTCTCGTATGACACCAAATTCCATATGGGGAATTGAAAAAGAAATTTGTCGAAATGCATGCGCTGTTAATGTCTTTATAGATGAAAAACGAATTCTGCTAGCAAAGCTTTGTCATTCAAATTTTGCAATCTACCTCCCATAAAGTGTAAATTACAAGATAGGTCCAGATGAAACAAAAAAATATGAATATTCCTCTACATTTGCATGTTTTGAATGCCTAGAACTTAACTGGCGACATCAGCCAGATTTCCTTTCTATTCTTTTTTTAGATATGAACGAAGCTTCCCACTTTTTTCCTCCTCTTTCTTATTTTTCGCCTTCCCTTTATTATTTTTCACTGCCGCTTAATAAGACTGAAATCTGCGACTTGTGAATAGCATATACAAACAAAACTACAGCAATGGAAAAACTAATCTCCGGAAAAGATTGAACTCGTATTCTAGAGAATCTTAAAATAAAAATCTGCATTTTGAATCGATTGAACCAGGGGCAAAAATGCATTTTCTTTTAGATTACATAGTAATGTGATAACATTTCTTTCTTCATTTTTAGATATACGGTCGACAGACTATTTGAAAGTATCAGAAAATCACAAATAGGTACTCTCAATAACCTTGATCGCTCGAAAATATGAAATGAATTTTTGACAACAAAAATAGTAAGCGTTTAAAAAAGAACAGACCTTGTAAAAAAAACATTGTGAACAACATTGTAGTAAATAAGTAATCGATGTCAAAAAATATATCGACAGGCATGAAGTAGATGGTCTTCAAAAAGGAGTGCATATGATTTTTTAAATAATTGATGAACGATGGAAAAAACAATATCGGGGATAGAAATAATAACTGAAACATGCGTAAAACATATTCTGAAGAACCATGAAAGTTAAAATATAGGAATATATAAAATATTATTTACTTACCAATCGTGGAAGATTTGGATTATCGCTGTTCTGTGCAGCACTTGCAACTAGGTGAATAGTAAGAAGTAGGCAGCCTCCAAAAACAGCAATCCTCATCCGAACTGGGAGCATCGTATATGTCATATAAATGAAAAATATGGTCACCCATACCCCATCGGTCGGCGAATTGTATTTCCTAGAATCGTTGCTTCCAACAGGACAGAGTACAGAAACAAGTACGATTCCACATGAAAGGGTTAGCAAAGCGTATGACACCCATCTAAGTTGCTTTTGGGAAGAGTCGGACATTTGTTTATCAGATGAACCACTTCGATTGACGATAACCGCCAGAACCAGGTAGACAACAAGAAAAGCAATCATAATAAACCCCTCGATATTATCGCCTTCGTTTTCCAGAGAAAACTGGAAGACCACAAGAGCAATGCATAGAACTATTAATATAAATACCAGCCAGCTTGCAAACTTTTGATTTAAGCGAAAAATGTAGCGTTGATAGAGACTTTCTAGTTTTTCTGACTCAAAACGTTTGGACTTCAAAACTCGTGTAAACAATTTCCAATGACCGACAAACGAATCATCGGCATCCTCGCCTTCGTCTTCGTTGTTGTTAGCCTTCTCAGTGTCTTTGTCTAATTTTGATCCGTTCTTGACAGATACAGTGAGTTCTCCATTCGTATTATCGGCCGCAGCCGTACTTCTGTCTCCTTTAGCCATATTTACAGATTGTATGTTGGAGTCTTCTACACCAAGTTCAACACTTTTAAGTCGAACTTCGCCTCCATGCACACCACTGTCCATACTCTTCACACCACTACTTTCTTTCCTCTTGGTTGCTATAGCGTTATTTTGTTCCTTTAAGTTCTTATTCAAATTACTTTGTGATGAATTAGGTCTTGAAAATGTCGTTTGAGCCTCCTCTTCTTCCCAAGCGCGTTTTGATGGCGTCGAAGTCTTTCTGGTTGTTGTGTTGCCCACGGCATGAGTTGTCATGCTCAGAGCCCCGAATTACCAATTCATAGCTTCACTTAACCGCTCATGTCGATCTAATGTGGCCAAATATTCTCTTTTCACACGAATTCTTTGTAAACTAAATGACACAAATTACAGAAGGCCGTAGCAACGGCGTATCGGGTAAGCCGAGTCAGCTTTACCTTTGAAGTCACTTGAAAATTTCACTCAACAGAACTTCAGGCCGCATTCAAAGGCCTTCTTATGATCCCATACCAGTTGGTTTGTACTATAAATCCAGCTCAAACGTTTCCTTGGGGGTGATTTGGCGTTTTTTTTGGAAGTAAAAGTCAAATTTGTGGCCGTAAATCAGTCAGTTGGTGGATCCAGGACAACCAAAGGAGCCGAATAGTTTATTTGGTCACGTGACCTGAAACAGACGGGCTAAAAATAATTACAAAGAAAGAGTCTATCGACTTCTTATATATGTTCTGGTAAAGTCGTGAATAAAACAGGGTGTGATTGGAATAACAACGTAGAAATGTCCAAACAGGCTTTTTAAAAGACTTAGGTTTGATTTGTGTAGGGCAATAAATTTTCCCACTTTTTTTGCAACCAAGACAAGTAAGTGACGAGATCCATCTAGCCAGCAGAATGATTTTGACAACGATAAGAACCGGCAGATTTTTTTCAATCTTTATTTAGCAAATTCCCGTGAACCAAAAACTGATTAAAAATGTAAGAGGACTAATGGCAAAATCCTAAAGGATTCCCAAAAACTGGAATTTAATTTCTAAATAGCCTTTTTTTGTTTGTTATACTAATTGAAGGTGGCAGAACATCATTCGGGCACCAGGAACGGTTGACCCTCTATACTTAACTATAGACGTCATGATAGCCTGCCATCTGGACTCAAGTTCCATTAAACTCTCAACAAAATATTAAAAAGCCAACCATGTATGCATCTATGAAGCCATATCATCTTATTCTGTGGTAGTTTTTCGTCGTGTCTTTGGCTGTACAAAGCCAAACTATTAAAGCATCGAAAGACCAATAATGGTGAGCATATATTAAACTACGATGCAAAAACCGTTATCTGAGTGATGACACTTTTAATGAGCCTCTTTATTTCACAGCACCGAGAATATAAAACATTAATTTGCCGGCAAGCAGAAAACCGCAAGAAATACAGGGTCAGAAGGGACAAATGTAACTCAAAGAAAATGAACTGGATTACTTTCTGTGGGCGTTGACTAAAAATGTTTCTTGACTTTTACGAACAAAGAAGCTTTAATATAAATATTTCTAAATGTTTGCAAATAAACCCTTTTGTTACAAGTACCTAAAGCAGTCAAGAAACAGCTTTAACTGGTAAATGGGCCGGGCAGTGTAAAGTCACATCAGCTTTAATGGCCATGAGATGGCCCGGATCAAACCGCTAAAGTTCGGTTCTATTATGACGGTGCGATTTGATCATCACCACTGCAGCGAGAATCACTTATCTGCATATCATTTTGCCACAATTTAATTTAATACAATTTCTATTAGAATCTACTAGAACTTGCAACCAAACCGTAGTTCATTTGCTGGTCGCGAATTTATTTTGTACAGATTTATCTAAAGGGGATACTCCGCCCGGTATTTCGACCCCATATCCTTTCATATACCTTCGCCTAAAAAGATAACCCTTTCATATAACTAAAGACGCTGTCATGTTTTGTGGCTAAGAGGCCAGATACGGAATATCGATCGTCACGCACATGCGTGGAACTTCGGCTTTTGATTTCCTTCAAATAAAATTTCGCTACGTACGATCATCAGTCGGCACTATATACAGTGTATCCGAAAAAACCATGATAGCTATAACTCTTCCGAGTCTCTAAAAGAGCTTTAACCTGCTTGTTCGTCCAGACTCAAATGGGGACGGCTTATTATCTTTGCTAAGAAAAAAGCCGCTATTATAGATCTCGTATAATCCGGCTCTAATGCGGCGGTTGCATTGGAACGGTTTATTTTATTTTTAGCAGCCAATCAAATAAAAGATGCAGTCAATATTAAGTCAAGTAAGAGATTAACGCGGGTTATCATTCATAAAATCAGTGCAAACACTAAAAAAAACCAATTAGACCATCAATAACTAGTCACTTTAGTCTGCATGAATGATGAAAATGGGAAGAAAACAACGAATGAACGAATGAAAGATGCTGGACGACCCAGTCTTGTGGCAGTGTTCGCTATACTTCACAAAAAGCACGCCCTACGGCATGTAAATAATTTCGGCGATAGCACTAATGTACTATATCTGAATTCGATCTAGCAAACGGTCTATAATGTAATACAAAGCAACCTTCAGAAGTCATACAAACCCCTCTTCATTTTGACCCATGAATTCAATCGTATCCCTTAAAACAGTTACATGGTAAACCTACGATTCTCTTACATTTTAAATTCGTTTAAAGAAATCTTTTTCTTTTTGATTAAAGTAATATTTATATTTTATTTGTGACATTCTTTTTTTCTTCTTCTTCTTCTTCTTTCTTCGTTTAGTTTCTCGAACAACTAAACTACTCTAGATCAGCTTGGTGCCAAAAGCGCACTTATTTCTTATTATCTGCAGCTTTTGAATGATTTTCACAGCTCTCACCAGTAGCGTAGCGAGGGGGGGACACGGGGGGCACGTGCCCCCCCCAAATTTTTGAAAAAAAAAAATTTGAAAAAAGAATAACAACAGAAAAAACATATTAAACCGAAACGAAAGAGGAAAATAAATTATTACAACCTACAAAAGTGCGAATTTATACGAAGTTATCCGGACGGGCTACCTGTGCACTGCGAACCCGGTCAGAGCCTGGAATCTGCACGTGGGAATTTGAAATTTTTTCTTATTTTGGATCAGTGCCCCCCCAGCTCCTAGGTCCTCGCTACGCCCCTGGCTCTCACCGTTGCATATCTAAAATAGATAAAACTCAAGAGTTATGTTCACGTTCAATCAATACGTTTACGTCAAATCTCGTCATTTATACGACTACTCATTCAACACTTTTGCGTAATTTTTAGTCGCGTCTGATGGGAACACAACTACTTTAGGCTTATTTTGATATCGTAAATTATAACTCGATTGAAATGAAGCCATAACCGACAATGATTTTGACAGCGGATTTTCGTCTCCTTCCAACCAGCTGGGGGGTGACCGTCCCCGGGCCTATCAGCGATGCTACCACCCGGATAGCCCCACTGCAAGCTGCGTTCAACCCCATTTCACCCTTAATGATTACGATCCCCTCCCTCTTCAATCTAGCTAGGTTCACTTTTGCACGGCCCATGTTCCAACTTTATATACATTGCTGCTTCTGTATCAATGCGCATCAAATTCAAAAATGGACTTGCTACTTTTCGATTAAAACAGCGTCCTGGAAGAATGATATCCCGTCCCTATCCCCCTCAGTCAGGTGAGACTATGATTTGCATGGTTTCTATCTGTTTTTATCTAGCTTCATTTCCCGTTTATCGAACAAAAACAGTCGGCAGTTATACAGACTCTGTATATGATCGGCAAACTGCATCTAGACAATATAATACAATAACCTTTATTAAGCTACTTTACAGACATGCCACATTAAAAAATATACCAATGCACTGACTAAAGTCACGGAAACACAAAAGGAAGTAGTGAAAACAATAGTCCCCTTCAAAGATCCCTGCGCCATCTTGAAAGGTAGCGAGTACCTGCGTATCGAAACGAGATCGGCGGTGACCTTGCAATGATAAGGACCTTATTAAAAACTTTGGAAAATTAATTATTCGCATGTCCCTATCTTTGCAAGTTAACCGCCGTTCTCGTTTCGATTGCCACAGGCACGAATACCTTTAATTTAAAGATGGCGCAGGGAACTATGAAGGAACTATGAATAAGATGTGATTATCAAGAGATAAATCATAACGAGATCCACTTGAAACTTCAAGTGCCGATAAAAATTGTTAAAATATTTTGTCTTGTGAACACGACTCTCTTCGAATCAAGCTCGTAAAAAACTGTTGTTTACCCTGAATGTGACAACTACACCTATACTACAACCTATACTACCACCTATACTATACACCTTATACTACACCTCAACCCTTYAGAGCCTTCATGTACAAACCAGACAACGTTTGACTATTGTGACATGCCTTGTATGGAGCAATCTGAACAAGGGTCAGGCAGATCGTCTTCGCAAGCTTCAGAACAGAGCTGCACGCATCATAACGTGTAGGATATGATGTGAGATCAGCTGACATATTGCCACAGTTGAAGTGGGATAAACTTCAAGAAAGACGAGACCAAAGAGTGCGTTTATTGATGTTTGACATTTTTACTGCTTTTATTACAGAGAGACAAAGATGTGGAACTCTATATTCCCTCAGAAATGAAATCTGCTCCAACAAAGAACTTGTTTAAAAGAGACTGTCAAAGTTGGCGTGCTGTCAGTACTCATTAAAGCCTTCTCTCATTATTCAACTCTTATTCATAATTAAGTAGTATAGGGGATGGGGGTTCTAACACAACGACCACACGAGGATTACCTGCGTTAATCAAGCTGACTGTTATTTCCGCAGGAGTACCCGTATAATGCTGGTTTGGTTTTTTACTAACCCCATCCCATAATATCAATTACCTATATATGGAGTGCGAAGATTGTAAAGAGTTTGTAAGTGGATTTTGTATAAAGTGCTTGAAACCTAAGTTTGTATCTACTAAGCCAAATAAGTATATTTGTTGTGGTAAAAAGATGCAAATAGAAGAGGATACGTCAGCACAGTGTTACGAGTGTGGTAAAAATATTCGTAATGCTGTACCTTGTGCTACCAGGGAGCAATATTACTCTAACGGGGGTCGTCAGAAAACGCCTTATAAAAGAATAAAATACTTTAGGGACTGGATGAGTCATATTCAAGGTTACCACCCCGTGCACCTAAATGATGAAGTAATGGAAGCGCTTAAGTTAGCAGAACCAACGCCACAAAGCTTAAGGAAGACACTGAAAAAGTTGAAGTTAGGGAAGTATTACAAGGCAATTCCATACCTTTTATCCCAAATTACCAACGAACCAATTCCAGAGGTTTCTAGAGACGTGATGCAAAGGGCTGAGTGGTTGTTTTACCGAATGGATAAGAAGATTTTACATTACCCAGACGTCATTTACGAGATTTTTAAGGAAATCGACCCTGAGCATCCGCTGTTAGTATGGATACCCAGACGTTGAAGTGAACTCTAAATGGAAGCTTATTGAGCGAGTTTTCTTTGTAGGTCCGCCTTTGCTTGTTCGTAGATCTTTTGTCGAGTTTCTTCTGAAAGATCTTTGACGATTGTTTTTTTGGTTCCCGACTTTAATTCCTCATATTTTTTTTCCTATGCGAGGATTAAAGAGAATTCCCCATCGTCTAT